AGGTGGAGGAAAAGCCGCTATCACAGGAGCGCAGCCTCATCCGACGCTGTCCGTGCCACAGGCTGATGGATGGACCGGGGCCCAATCCTGCGCAGCACCCCGCTCCCAGGGACGTCAGGGTCACCCCCACGCAGGGTCGTGCCTGCTGGCACTCACCTTCCCCGAGGACTTGATGCCCTTGAAGAGTGCGGCCCCGACAATCATCCAGGACAGGAGGAGGCACAGGGCCAAGTACCAGACGATGTGGCCCGTCTCGTCCAGCCCGCTCGAGCGCTGAAGAGCCACTTTGCTGCAACACCAAACAGGGAGGTCAGCGTAACCGTGCTAGGAGGGCAGAGCTGCAGCTCTTAGCCCCGGGGCTCGGTGGTGGACAGCCCAAAGCCGTGTCCGGAGAGGAGGAGGACGGGGAGAAAGGGTCTCCCTGGAGCTCCTGGGCCTCCATTGCCATCGGGGCACAGCTGGGACCACGGCACTGTACTTCAAACCTTGCCGCTCTTTGCCTTTGGGTGCCCCCATCCCTCCTCCAGGACTGCCTGGACTCTTTGTACTGCATCCATTTAGGAATCAGACCAGCAAAACCACCAAAGCGACTGATTGCAGCGGGACTGAGGCACGTGCTAATCCCGGCCCTTAGTGCAGAAACCTTTCCCAGCCCCTCTTTGCATGCAGCGCTCTCCTGATGGTTCCTGAGCACCGGGCTGGGCTCGGGGCAAAGGGAAAGCTGGTTTCTGTGATGTTGCTGAGAGAAACCACTGATTTCCCCTAACCCTAACCCTCCTCTGGGTCCAGGAGAGAGGTTATAGACACGAGCGTGCTGTTCTTTGCCCGGACGCTCAACCGAGCAAGCCGATTCAGGTTACCGGCTGACGGGACAAGCTGGAAGACAACAGCTTGTGTTTTCCCCACATCTGCAATGAACCCTGCCCCTTCCTCCATCCACGGCCAACTCAAGGATCATTATACAAGCAGAGCCGGGTGCCAGGTTCAAGCTAGCTTCTCTCCAGTGAAGCTGCAGCAATTGGTGCTGGCTGGGGATTTAGCTCACGGCTTTGGGAAAAGCAAGTGGGGCGAAGTGGCTGCAGGGATGGCATGGGGAGCAATCTCGGTTTTGGGGCCCTAGGTGCCTTGGCGATGACAAATGCAGAGAAACCTATGAGACCCGACCTCAAAAGTGCGCAATGCAATGGGATTCCCTGCTATGGGAATGGTGTTTTTGAGCTCGCGGCCCAGCGAGCTGGTGCCCTTCAGGCACAACAGCAGCTCCCAGTGTGTACACCTGACTTGGACACTAGTCCATGTAACCAGGTCCCTATTTGCAGCTGGGCTGATGGCACGGTGGAGCCTGCAATAAGGCTCTGCTTCCCCAGTCACCGCCACTCTGCTACCGCCCCTCTCCGGGTCACCCGAAGCCCTAAATCCCTACTGGTAGCATCGGCGCTCGCTCAGCCTTGCACATCCAAGGTGCACCCCAACGGCGGGCGGATGCACACCCACACGGCTGATGCACAGCCGGAAGCGTCACTCGTCACATGGAAACCCTGTTGCACTCTGCGCTGACTCATACCCCACAGTGCGTGGCGTGCACATGCAAGACCTGCAATTATAAATACCTGCGCATCCTGAATGGGGATTTGTAATTACAGATCTGGCAAAGGCAAGTGGACTGTCTGAATATTTTGAACCTAGTAATTTAGGCTGAAGATGCTGGGGTGCCAAGTCCTCTTTAGTTGCTGAACTGCTGGCTTTGAGAGGGAAAATCTCCCAGGATGCTGTTTTTCATTTCTTTAGCTAAAAGTTCTGCTTGGGCACTTCTCTGTGATTGAGCCGTATGCAATGGGCATAAACTAAAGCCATTTCTGGAGGGGGGTACAACCTACGTGGAAGACACCAAATGACACGCGCTTGCTTTCCTGGTAAGAAGGTCGGCACACTTACTTCCAGTACTGCTCACTGGGAGGCTGCATTTTATTGTAGATAATGCTGCCATTGAGACACGTCAGATTGTGGCTGGTGAGGAAGGAGGAGTTGACTTGAACGGTGGTGTTACCTAAGGTAGCATCGCACGAATTCACTGGAGAAAGGGAGAAATCGTTAATACAGAAGAGTGGGCAAAGACTCTCAGCTTTCATGTTCACCTTGGGCATTTGCACATGCCACGGTTGTTGCCCTTTCTTGTTTTGTGGAGTTATGGCTTTAGTTTCTAACCCAGCTGCCATATCTAGAAAAAGCCCCAGCCTGCCACTCGGAGACCTTGGTTTGATTCATTAATAAATAAAGTTTACAAACTGCCTGTTTTATCTTAGAATGGCACTCCCTTTGTCAAGAAGCCACGTGAAAGCAGAGAGCAGTATTGCTGGTATTTACACACCAGTTTAGAAACGTTTTATTCTAGAGAAGAAGGACAGATGGGCAGAGAGGAGGGTGCACTCCAAGTTCCCAACAGATCGCAGGTTCACCATTCAAATTCAGGAAAGGCTTCCAGGTGGCCTTTTGGGCAACCCTCTGCCTACTGCTATCTCTTCCACAAGCTTTGGCTTTGCTGGGAAACTGCAGAGCATCGCCCACAGCGACAAACCCGTACGTCGGCAATAGAGCACCGTACCTGTGCGATTCCTGCCGCACCTTGCATCCGCCCATTCAAAGCACTCCGACCAGGGGAGCACTTTTTGAAAAGAGGCAAATAAATAGTAGAGGGCATAGGCAATGATAACATTGTAGTAGATGGTCACAAAGGTTGAGATGAGGACCATCGTGATTCCCACACCTAGGAAAGAGAGAGGGGAGGTTTTGTCACAAGAACCAAACGTAATATAAAATAACATGGGTCGTCAATGCCCCTAAACTGCATGGGACTTTACTTTCCACCCTGCATGCTCAAGATCCTATCGCTGCCCGACGGACGGCACAGCATCGGTGGGTATGCACGCCATGCCCTGCAACTACCCTCCAGCGCAGGGTGTCCATTTGGGGACATCCGGTGAGCGCCGTTTGCTTCAATGCCCTCGTCCCGGGTTTGAGCGATGCCCACGTGTGCAGAGAGATGTTGGGGGCATTAGAAAGTGAGTGGGTGAGTCTGAGGGTATTCTGTATCCACGTGTCCCTGCACACACAATATTTGCTGCGTCCACGTGCCTTTGGGTTAAATCCCTCCTGCTCTTCCTATCATGACAGATGTGGATGTTTGCTTGCATTTTTTCATGAGAACGAAGCAGAAACGGACAAGGAAGTTGGGCGTTCAGTAAATCATCTGTATAAAAACCCCTTTGCTATCTTCTAGCAGCAGGATGGCAAATAAAGATCTATTGTGTTGAAAATACATTTCCTTGTTCTAGCCTTAATCTATCTGAAGCCTCCCGAGTACACGCAGGGTCAGTTATGCCTTCGGGTACGTCCCTCTGCGCTGATGCAGGATGGATATAAACAACGGGAGAATTTAGCCCACTTGTCCCAACCCCCCTGCATGATCTGGGACGCATAAAAGTGTGGCTATTTCCCCTCTTGCAGGGGCACAAACCCCACACAACAGAAATCTATCCCCTCTTGCTGCTGCAACAGAAATCATCTGACCCAACGGCTCCGGTACGCCAAGCTCCTGCACAGAAGTGCATGAAAGGGTCATGCAGCAACTGCAGGGTCGGCACATCCTTTGCAGGTGATGGATTTAACACCGAGCATGCCAAGAAACAGCAGCCAGGTTTTAGAGAAGCTCTAGAAAATGGCTGCTTGGCACTATAGCACGTGGCGCCACGTACGTAACTAGGGTTTCATTACATGTAACACACACTGCGCCCCCACGAAAGAGCGCGAGGTGCGTTATTCATGACCCTGGCCAGATGCCTTGTAAGGAAATCATTAATCCACTTTGGATCATTAAGAGCAACCAAAGAAAATCCGTAAGTTAAAATAAAACACCGACCTTGAAACATGGGTAATATTCTCCACACGGACACTGGCCCCAAACTGGCAAACTGCCCGAGGGAGCACTCCAGGAAAAATAAAGGCAAGCCAGCTAATGCCAGCATAAGCGTATAGGGGATTAGAAATGCACCTGGAAGAAAAAGGAAATAAAACCATTAGTATTCAGCATCATCCCATTGCTTTTCACATCTATGCACACATGCATTGGCCATCAGCAGAGCAGATGGGTTACAGGTGCCCTCCGCAAGAGCCGCAAGCGTTTGCAGGGGAAAAAGGGATTCCCAATGGAGGTCTGACCCGACCCGCGTGAAATCAGTGTTAGCAACACACAGCTCAGCCCTTGCACAGAAGAAAGTTGCCACCAATTTGCCAGGTCACTTCTTCTTATGGAGGGGTCTCACGAACAACAAGCCCTTGCACCGGGTAGTTTAAACACCAGAGTGAAACAGCCACGATTTAAGTGCCGGTCTCCTTCAAGGCTGAAAACCTGGGCCTTTGGTACTTGGATCCAAAAGGGGAACCGATAGCATTTGTACAACATTTATACGACAGTTTTCAAATGATCCAGTTTCCCCACATGATTTATGCTTTCAATAATTGCTTAAGGGGATACTATAAAGCAGCGCTGCTGCATTTTCAAATAACAGCTTCACAGTGTCAAATATGAATGCCATTTCCATTTTAATTTAAATAATTTAAGTAAAATAAAGCGTGGGCCTTATTGCACTCACAAATGAGGTATTTAACTTCCAGATTACATCCATTACATACATGAATAAATACAAGAGCACAACTGCATCCATAATTCTTGGCACGTTCAATTTTCACACACAAAGAAAAGCTGAGTTATCAAAATCTAGCCTCGGCTCCTCTTTTCATTTCCATCAGTCCTATGCAAATGCATGAAGCCATAGAAGCTGCAGCAGTCGGTGTGTGCTCTTCCTGCACGGGATGAAAAGTAAACGATGGATTTCCGGTGTGCATTCATTCTGGTGCGCAGTTGTTGTCTGGTCTCTCCTGCCCCCACATCTCCACCACCCCCACTATTACTATTATTTCATTGTTCATTCTTTCCCTGGGAAATAATCAGCAACACGCGCCACCACCACAACCTCTCTCTACCAGAGAAAAAGGCCCTAGAAGCTCTAAGATCCAACCACCAAATAGTAATAAAACCAGCAGATAAAGGAGGAGCCATAGTCATCCTAAACCGTGAGGATTACATAAAGGAAGCCAAGAGACAGCTCTCTGACACCACCTACTACAAAGAACGACAAGAAGATCCTACTCCCCTTTTCACCAAAAAACTCAACAATACCATCAAATCATTTCCACCAAGATTACAAGAAAAACTACAGACCTTGATCCCCCCGCTACCTAACCCAGGGACTTTTTACATGCTCCCTAAAATCCACAAACAAGGGAACCCTGGCAGACCTATCATATCCAACCATGGGACCCTAACTGAGGAAATATCAGGTTTTG